TCCAGTCACTCACAAATGGATCGGATGCACAGTAATACCGACGACCGAAGTGATGGATCACCGCATGAGTCCTCACGTTTGAGACTTACATTCGAAAAAGATAAGTTGATGCATGCACATGAACTTTCATTCTCATTTTACTTTCTTTTATGGAGTATACAAAGATACAATTTTCAGGAAGGGGGGAAGCGGCCCATTAAATGGCTGCCATACAACACACAATGCGGAAAGGCAGGCGGTGGTGGTAGGGTTCGAACACAGGTTCTCTGAAGTGATAATTGGTGAAGTTACCACTGGGCCACCACCGCCTTTCGTAGTCAAAGTCTGACCACATCACAGGCAAATGCTGTATCAATCCGGACCAACAGGTCTCTCGTCCCATTTGCTCTGAGCTGATCGACTGATTGAGTGACGAGCAACTATCAACGATTTTCGGCCCTATTACCCGTTCACATTGTCATCTCTGTCGGCTTGGCACATGTCCAGTGCACTGCATGGGGTGAATCCGTGGTTGAGGAGACATCCGACGATCTGTTAAGGGTCGAGTGTATGCTGCAGAAGTTCGGCCAGTTCTGCCATATATGGCGCAGAAACTTGGTCATTGAGAAAACAAGATAAGGATAGACTGGCAATGTTTGAACACCGCTGTCTACGCAGGATTGGACGGAGCGGGCGAGCAATGCTGAGGTTAGGCGCAGAGTTTTAGGTATTCGCGGTCGTCCACTGGAGTAAATGATCGACCTCCATAAATTACGTTGGTTGAGGTATGTGTTACGCATGTCACCAGATAGGTGGCCACGGCGAGCGATGTTCGCCGAGGCAGATAGTGGTTGGAATAAAGCCAACAGTGATCAAGCTAAGATCTGACACGAGGGTATGAAAACCCTAACCAGGAGTCTGAGTCACATACGCCCCGCTAGGCTCCCTGGATGGGGACCTTGAGATGATTGTAACCGATGGTTAGACACACTGAATGATATGGCTGGGTGTCGTAAACAGTGGAGTTCATGCATCTTCTCAATTTCTCTGCATCATTAGTGCACCGAACTTCTCAATTTTTTCTACGATCCTACTTTCAGCCTTTCCTGTCTTTCTCTTAATGCTCATCCAAATTGGCAGCCAAAAGACAGTAACCAAAACCGGCGCACGATGGCGTATGGTTGAGGGTTGTACAAACTGAAATGAACTGAGGAGTTGCCCAAGGACAATGTGCATGTGGATTCGTTCGACCAGAGACAAATGGGATGAGGTCGGCACTGAGCTTGCTAACTATATAGTCCGGTGATAAAACCTTCCCCGAATTATTAATACGAAACACGTTACATCAATCTTTGTTTACCTCCCAGCAATTGGTTCAGCATCAAAAGATTTTAAATGCACAAAATTGTAGTAGCTACGATTGAGCTCCTACGCACATGCGAATTGGGACAAGATTCAGGTGTAATCCCTCTGTTGTTTCAGTGTTAAACACAACGGGGATTTCACACTTTTCTGAGCTACTTACTTATGTGAACGAAGATGTTAATTTTTACCCCAGCAATTTATCCAACATTTATGAGTTTTCTAGCGCACTTAAATTGACCCTTAATTTATCTAAATGGTTCGGATGCGTAGTTACACCTAACCCTAGGGCTCATTTATCATCAACAAAGCTAGCGGTACATTTTTCGGAGAAATCATCGATGAAAATCCCAAGTCAACATCTCACATTTCTGAATGTGAGAATAAACGTTGAGGACTATCTTTTCGAATACTATGACAGGATGATGAATCCATGGTAAACAAATTTGTAAATCGATTTGCTTCTCGGTTCTGTTTTGCATTTGGCCCATAGTTAATTTCTCTGATATTCTCCCGAAAGATTTCCGATTTCCTCAACGCCAACTGTCGACTAAAAGTTGTGTGTGTGTGGCTATGCTCGTCACAGTGTACTATGCGAACTCAAAGCTATCCGCTGGTGAAAAATTGCACAAACAACCGTCTTTCATCTCAATCCGTCATCCGCAGGGCAACCCGTAGGCAATGAACTGCTTACGGATAGCACAGCTGAGTGCTACCGAGCACGTCTCCAGGTCGCGGATAGGAGAACGGCCACCTTGGTGGTTAACCGTGAATAGGTGGGGCTACCTCACTGAATAATCGGTCGCGCACGATCAGCGGCGATGCTAGAGGACATGGTGGGGTTTTCGGCTGGCAACCGATATCTCGTTCAAATGCCNCTGCTGGCAGCATCGCGACGTGTGCGAATGTGACCCGCCACCAAATAAGGCCATTGCTACTTGCCTACTCTTACGAGTAGGACAAACTGAGGAATGCTACCTCATGGACACGTTGGGAATCCTGTACTGGTGCACAGCCATCCGAAAGGCGTATGAACCGTTCTAACGGTCACCGGCTACCAACAATTCTACCTTATTACCCTGCAGGTCGCACTTGGTTGTGCAAGGGTTAGAGGTGCATCCTCGAATAAAAGCCGAGCGACGCTGGGGACGTCACTTATTACCTCATTCCCAAGTTTTTTCATGGATCGTCCCACAATGGTACATCAAGTTCATGCTATGGCGTTCCCGGGAAGCGACGCGCCCTGCGTTCTCCCAGTGGCTGGGGTGACAACTGAGCAAGCTGGGAACCAAAATCAGCTATGCACCAGATCCAGCATCCATGTAGCCTACTGGAATGTTAGAATATTGCTAGACGCAGGAAGCCAGTGTAGCACGATGCGTTCACTGCATGACTAAAAGGTAGACACCCGTTGTCTGTCCGAAGTCCGACCACCTAACTGTGGCACAAAACTGATCAACGTACCACACGGCAACGCAACCTACCGGTTATACCACAGCGGCCCAACTGACAACTCCCGTTTGCACGGGGTAGCAATCGCCTTGAGCGGCGGGCCCGCAATGCCAGGATCTCCTGGGAACCAATCTCTCGCAGGATTGCCATAGCGCGCTTCAGAAGAAAGCCGTTTAACCTGACAGTCATCGCTGTGTATGCTCAAACGTTACATGCGGAACAACCCATCAAAGACGACTTCTACAACTAAGTTCAAGACGCAGTGAACCGCAGTCCGAGACGCGACATCCTCGTTATCGCAGGAGACTGGAACGAAGGTGGATTTGGAATTACTGGGTCTTTAACCCGTATATGGAATTCGCAACTGGAACCAGAACTGGGTTTCACGCTGCGTCAACCTTGCTACCGATCGTCATGCATGGGCCGCCATCATTAGAGACATCCAGGAAGCCGACTTATCCTCCCGCGGGAGTTAGTCGATCAAAAGTAAAAGTAAATAAGTAACCCGCTCACACTTCTTTCACCGATAACTATTTCCTTTGTCTTAATGAAATTAAGTGTAACTGTGGGCTGACAGGCTGGGTTCTTGTCCTTTTCTTGCATCTACAGATGATCTACCACATGCCACCATGTATTACTATTTGCGGATGATGCTAAAATCTGGACAACAGCAACACATACAGAGGATTATTTGGTAGTCCAATAAACTATCAATGCAGCTCACCCCACAAGACTGATTTCTACTATGTTCTGGTGAACCAAATAATACCACATTCCATTGATGAAAGAGATTTGGGAAGACATAGAATATTCCATACACTCTGCCGGAGCATCATCCATGACTCCAAAGCAAGTTGGATTGATTAAACGTGCGTTCGGGCAGTTAGAAACAGCCCTGTTCTTACGATTTCTATCAGCGTTCATTTGGCCACACACAGAATATGCCATTCAATTATGGAATCCATGGTTGAACTGCGACAAGAAGGCTCCGAAACGTCCGTGGGAGAAATACTCCGAAAGACTGCGAATATTGGGGGTTCACTCATCTCGGTACCGTCGACTTCACTGGGGGGAATGGGGGATGAGAGATAATATTGACTGACCCAAACACCCTTGCCATTCTGTTTTGACTTTATCTCAAAATAATCATCTCAGGGGAAGTCCACCGAAGTTGAGGACCCAGAACAGTCATCTAGATTGCCTGCTCCACTCGTTTGCAGTTAGAGTATACGGTGTGTAGAATTCTCTTCCATCTTCCATGTTGTCCGTGCTCCTACAGTTGACTTATTCAAACCGCAGCTTGAATAAGTATTGGAACATTCAGGAGTTCAACATCCATGTGAGTGATCACGCACATTACTATTTTCTATTGGCAAAGTTGCCGGAAAAATTTTGTAAAAATCCTATGGGACATGATAAGCATTAGCTTTGTGTTGAATCGCCCATAATAAAACTTCAGCGAAAGCCCCAAAAAATACAGAACAAACAAACTTACAAATCAAGATCGTCTGGGAAACACAAATAGACCGAGAGACGGTGGAAACAATGAGAAATTTCAGTGGACTACAGCTGCGACAGAAACCCCTTCGTTGCATAGAACCTGTGGTAAAACTTGTTCTGACCTCGGGATCAGATTTGGCTTATCCCGTTGCATGATACTTCTAGAACACAGATTTTTCTCTGGAGCCTTGTTGACACACCAAGAGAGAGATAAGTGCATTGATTACACAATTTGACAGTGACATAAGGCCCCACTGGGGTTAGGTGTGCTACTGAACTGGACGACACTCAAGTTGGGTGGTGGGGCTCGAACCTTGGACCATAAGACACAAAGCACGCTGGTGCAGGGGGACTAAACCACTAAGCCACCACCCAAAATTTTCGAACGAGGACGGCTGAAAGCGACAAAAAGCAAATTCTGTGAATAACCTGAAGGATTTTGATCAGATTAATACGAGAGCGAATCGAATAGTGAACAGAAAACTGATCAGACTAAACGAGGAGTTAAGGGCATTGAATTTCCGTGTCACTCACTTCGGCTGAGATCGCTGTGGAACAGCCAGGCCAGCAACGCAGATACAGGCATGTCCAAGATGAATACAGCCACCATGCGCAGTGCGTTTTGCACCAGGACAATAACCAGTCGGATCTAGGACGAACAGGGAGGGACCAGAGTGAAAATAGGGCAATCGTTTTAACAATCCACCGCAAAGTCCAATCGGAGCACGGGTACGTAACGCCACAACAAAAATAAGTAGTGCGATATAGAAACCATCGGTTTCGTGCGAAATGACTTCGCGATGCGATTTTCATATTGTCATCGTAATCACCTCGTAGTTTCCATATTCCACTTACTCCCCGACCTCCGGCGTTGGCGCTCCGGTTTTCTTACTTCCACACCACTTAACTACTTATTCTACTTCACCCGTTCGCCAAGCTTGGCAATTTGCTTGCAAAGGTTTCGTCACCAGCCGAGGTGACATCATCAGTGCTCGTGAAGTGACAGTGTTCTGCTTCTATCTGCTCATTTAGGTGTCCTTCTCCACCGACTGCTTTTCATCCTTTGTTCTCACTCTGTTCGCCGTTAAACTGGTGGGAGGGGAGGAGTTTGTCCTTTCATCCTGATTGCGGTTTCGTTCCATTCTCGAGGCTTGGCATTCTTCAATCAACTTAATAAGCAGGCACATCAAACTGGATCACGTGTACAAACAATGCTAATCAAGGATCAAATGACGTAACAAGAAAGGTCACGCCGTGACCTGAGAACGGAACGAAACTGCAATCCAAACGAAAAGAAAAAAATCCTCCCTCCAGTTTGATGTTCCTGTTTATTAAGTTGATTGAAGAATGCCAATCCTCGAGAATGGAATGAAACCGCAAACAGGACGAAAGGACGAACTCCTCCCCTCCCACCCTCACCCCCGCGCATCAGTTTACCGGCGAGCAGAGTGAGAACAAGGGACAAAAATAGTCGGTGGAGTCAGTGGACGAACGGGTACAAGCAGAAAACTGTCACTTTACAAGCACTGGTGATGTCATCTCAGATGGTGATGAGACGTTTCCAAACAAATTGCCAAGCTCGGCGAACAGGCCAAATGGAATTCAGTTCATCCGAGCTACGAGAACCGATTTTCAATAATTTGTCAGCTTGACTACTTACTTATTTCACCCGTCTGGTTGACCAATTTTTCATAACGTAGCTTTTCTCTTGCTANGTGGTGGCTCAGTGGTGCAGTTGCTGTCACCGGCGTGCTTTGGATCCTGTGGTCCGGGGTTCGATCCCCGCCACCGCCACCCCATTTCGGTGGTAGGCAGCTGTCGTCTGGTTCAATACCACGCCTGACCTATCAGGGCCTTATGTGGGTCGCCACTCCAAGTCCCGGGGAAAAAGGCTGCCGGGTTCCATCACTGAACAGCAGGTCTTCGTGACTAAGGAATTCACCCCGACTGCTATTCATCACACATGGGTGTAATAATAAAAGACTTTATCCTTAGATGACCTGTTCTCGTATTTGTTTTGCGAAATCATCTTCAACAGTTTATCATTCACAAATGATCCGTTTTCATTAGGTAACCACTTAGGAGCTCGCCTCAGTAGACGGATTGCGTACTCATCGGCTCAGCCCAAAATGACAGGACTATCATACATTTACTATTTGAGACAGCATAAGTATAAATGACTACAGAAGACGCTCTTTTCCGTACCAATCCAACCTATTCAATATGCCCAGATATCTACCTGATCGAGGAACTGATCGATAGTATCAATACTGCTGAAGTCGCACTATTTGTTTCATTGATATTCGGAAAAAGAGAAGGAACATTTTCGAAACTTGATTTGGATCACTCACTAGGCCAAATGTGGCATAGAACGCCAAGGTGGTCGGTAACAGACACAAACTGACAGCCAAACCCAACAATGTGGCCACAAACAGACGATCCAGATGCACATCATGTTCACCCGTGTCCGGTACCGTGACTCGGGATTGGATCGGTTTGTTTCCCGGCCGGGTGCGGGTGATAGCGAAAATTTTCGGGCCCACATACATATCTGGTACAGTGTCAACACGATTACGCAACGGATTCCATTTGGATCCGTTTCGACAGAGACGCCAAGCAGTCCCGATTGCACGACACTGAAGCATCAGGAGACTGATTTTGGGAATGCAGCATAAAATCCAAACGGAAGGAGATAGGGTGGACGGATAGATAAATAGATATAGTGAGGAAAACAAGAGGGAAACTGCACACATTGACTGAAATTTATCTCACACAAAGTATCGATTCGGTTTCCAAAAGAAACAAGCCAAATTTGTACACAAGTAGATGAAACAAAATCGGATTATGAGAAAATGAACTATCCAAATGATCGCGTGTTACTCGCGAATAGGGCAGAAAGAAGTGAATGAAGCAAAGTCGAAATCTTTTAGGAAGCTACCCTCTCGTATTGACATTTAGAAAAATTCCCCTACCTGACTCGACTCCCAACCTCTCTCTCTGAGCGAAAGATGCTGATCAACATTCTGCTTTTGACCACCGATATCCCCGAAGCATTGTCCAGAGGAATTAGTTTAATCAACATGGTGAGTTCGACCACCCTTTACCTGTTTTAACCCAACACCCACCTCACTAAACAGCAAGCGCCGTAGAAATCTATTTAATGATATACCCCAACCAATGCAGTCTATGAAGGTGGACCACTTGTTCCATTGGGCGACCGGGGTTACCTAAAACTCTACGTCTAACTCCAGCATTGTTTGTCTGGTTTCCCCACTAGACGCGTGCGATGCGGGGTAGACAGCGGTGCTTCCGTAATGTTGTGTTTAATGTGAGGTGATAGCATATTCCATCTCGTGAATGAGACTCGGAACGCTAGGCGCTGGGAGGAATAAATGTGATGAAAGTCTGGGTATTGCACGAGTTTGATCAATACCGGCATATATACTGTCACCATAGAGCACGGTCCGGAATTTATAGATACTTAGGTTCTTCCGCTTCCTTGTGAACGTTTTGCCACACCAGAATGGAAAATCTGTGATCAGCTAGTACAGGGAACAGTAAGCAAGCGACGCGCGAAAACGCAGGGGTCAGACGACAGCCAATAAAGAGAAACAGTACGCAGAAGTACGAGACACTTACTGAACTGTGTACACATAGAATGTGGTCAGATGCAGAGCCAACAGATTGATTAAATCCATGAACAGGCAGAGGATCAGTGCGACAGTGAGTCGAATCACCGTGGACACATAAGATAGGATAATCACTCCGGACGAGATACACCGGTTTGGATTGGGATGAGTGGAAGCCACAAACAATGTGCCGAGCATCAGACAGGCCGAAGTGGCCAGATTCGCATAGAACACGGTATCGACCGAATGCACTTCGGTGATGTATTGGACCAGGCTCACACCGAATCCGGCCATGTAAATCAGTAGACCGCAATAGGTACGCCAAGCGAGAATGTGATAGAGGAAGAAATGACCCATCAGTCGGGCCAGATGCAAATTGATTTTTAATCCAGCTGGTTCCCCACTCTCGAGCCAAACCAACAGACGGGTTAACTCGCAAGTGAAAAACTGAAATAAACAGTGATTTTACAAAGAAAATTATTGGATTCGGAGAGGAGTGACAAACAAGAATAACAACAGTGATCCAATGTCCTCGCCTGTCTATATATCTCTTTTCAAACCTAGAATGTTAAAAAAGCAGCCAACTCCAAAAACAAGTTACTCGGCCCTTGATTGATGCCCGTCAGACAAACCTCTATCGAATATCACGCACTTTAGAGGCACTGTGGTGGAACGTTACTAGGAAAAACGGGTGTGCGATGTGTAAAGAAGCCGTATCGGGCGGAACGAAATTAGGGAACAAAGTACTCCAGTCTTGGCAATAGGCACTACACTTTTGGAAACTGGTAGTTTGGTACATTCACAGGTTCCCAAGTAACTAGGTCAAGACATGTGATGTATATGAACAGGACACACATATCCTCGGCAGACGCTCGGTGCAAGATCCAACACCAATCACAGGACACATTTCTACTCCACGAGACGCGAGCGAAGTGATCTCCAACATATTACTTTCACAACGCCCGTGATAAGGAGCCGGGCTCGGAAAGAGTGTGAGAATAACGGCACATGTTTTTTTTCTCTCGCAGAAGTCTTATATCTAAGCCAATATGCTCGGCACGCTTTTAGACTAACGAATTGGGTTGAACTGGTTGCCAATGCATGTGCTGTTTAATTTGGACCTTGAATCTGATTTACCGAAATAGTGGAAACCGAATATCACTTCTCAACAGTTTGTGACTCCGTGAAATTCCGACACGCATGTTACTATTGGGCGTAAAGCATTTTAAAACCAGGCTCTCCGAGGAAAACACAGTTAACGCGTTATTTATCCAGCACACACACACTGGTGATGTAATTGAAGGGGGATTGAAATCCACGATGTGAAACAAATAATGGATTGAATTCCACTAGATTTCGTCCGAACAACATACAGTACTTTACTTATTAACTGTTTCTCAGATTAGCCTCCATTATTCCATTAATCGCATGCGGGACACAACGTGATTACCACAAAATCCAGGAGCATCCAGTGTATGCAAGATGGCTTCAATCAACGAGGTGATATATCCCCCGGATTCGACATACATTGGTGAAAGCAACCACAATATCTGGTAGTTTAAAAGTTACAAGAGACATTATTACGTTTTTCTTACTTTTTTGTTTACTGATTATAGAAATGCACAATAAAATTTCAGGAATGGGACCGCGGCCATTCAAAGGCTACCTGGGGAATTACAAGTAATGGGAAGATGGGCGGTCGTGGTGGCGGCAGGGTTCGAAATCAGGACCCTCATATATTTCGACGACCTTACCGCCGCGAAGCCGTATACGAATTCTCCTCGGTGATAATAATTGTTCCGATCGGAAACATTGTGACATCTGTACATGTTTAATTCTTTCATCGGTACTATTGACTGTTATCAGTAGTCAAACTCTTTTCGGACAATCTGCCTTGTTTCCTGTTTTCCTATTGGTTGACTGTAATCCGTCTTTGTCTTGGCGGCCGACCATCTTTGTTTGCTGACTGTTTTGCTCTGATCACCACGCATCGGTGCTCTTTGTTGGACTGCTGGTCAAGCTACTTCGAATGTACGTTTCTTTTCTATTTCAACCTTGTTGTTTACCATACCGTATGTTAACAAATTGTTTTATCATTACAGAACCACCAAAGACAAGAATCCGAGACGTTCTAACTATCTTCTGATATTGATATTGACCTCGGGGTGCGTAAATTCGACTAAAGGCTAGCAAAGTACCGTACGTACGAATCGCGTAACAACAAACATGTTTCCGCTTTACAACAAGTGCAGTATTGAAGTTTGAGAGTTAATTCCAGTTATTCTTGTATGTATACATTAAATGGTCTTCTTACCAGATGTTCGTAAACTGTGGCCCAACAACCAAGCATGTGCCCGCATCCATCAGAAAGCAGTGAACGCACAAGTCTCTGTGAATCAAGAAATCAAATACCTTTTACTATATTCACTCCATTATTTTTTAACCCATTCGAACAGGCTTTTGAAGAGATTAAATAGGCCAGAGATAAGTTGATGTTGGATAACTTCTTAGTTCAGCGAGAACCGGTTTGCGATACACAGGCTGAGTGTCGTAAATAGTGGCGCTCGTGCATCTTGTCAATTTCTTTGCAACCCTAGACAGTTGAAACTCTCCATCTTCGTGTCTTTCTCCAATTCTTCATCCAAACAGCCAACCAAAACCGCTGCACGGAAGTGCATGTTTAATGGTTATACGAAATGAAACTGCTATCCGGAGGTGAAGACTTGGATAAGCCAAATTCAGGGTCCACAATAAACAACACATGCATTGGCAACCAGTTCAACCCAATTCGTTAGTCTAAAAGCGTGCCGAGCATATTGGCTTAGATATAAGACTTCTGCGAGAGAAAAAAAACATGTGCCGTTATTCTCACACTCTTTCCGAGCCCGGCTCCTTATCACGGGCGTTGTGAAAGTAATATGTTGGAGATCACTTCGCTCGCGTCTCGTGGAGTAGAAATGTGTCCTGTGATTGGTGTTGGATCTTGCACCGAGCGTCTGCTGAGGATGTGTGTTTCACGTGTCACGACAAATACTACTTCAGTGTACTTTACTTTACCACGGCTGGCTCCTTGGAAAGGATAAGCCGGCTCCAGACATGATCATGATCATGAAGTTCCCTGGGACCTTGGTACGAGAGACGTCCCCAGCGTCACTCGGCGTTTTCTATTTCAAGCGCGCACCCCTAGCCTTTGCACAACCAAGTACGAACTGCAAGGCAGCAGGAAGTAATCCCTCACCCCAGAAATGAGAGGGTCAATGACTTTAGTTTTAACAGGCTAGACACATCGATCTTTGTCACGACACCATCATTGGGCTAATGTGGCTTTTAAACAGGAGCCAGGTGACCAGCCTGAAATCCACCACACCCTGGTAGTGCTGCCGCTGTTTGTTCGCGACTGTTTATTTGTTGCGGTATGCTACAACTCATTCACAGCTAACCTACTCTGGTGAAGGTATCCCCCTATCCACAACCCAAGGAAGCGCTTGGTAGCATTCAGCTCTGCTTAACAGTGTGAACACTACCGAAGTTGTTTATGCTGAATGCTGACTAGAAGACAATGTGGTAAGGATAGAGGGACCAGGTCAAGAGACGGAAGGAAAAAATGTCATAGTTATTTTGATAATCTGTTCGATTGAAAAGGTAGACAGAACTGAACAAATTTGAGACGAAAATAACCAGAATAAATTTGAATCAACGTGACAGAAGTTTTGGACGGACGATTTCAGGCCTTCAACTACAGAAGTTATCCGCAACTTGAGAGCTTTCGTAGACACATCAAAAACACTCCCTACCGCTGATTTAATTCAGTAAAATAAATCGCACAATTTCGCGTACTTTCTCTTTCTATCGATCAGCTCTCAAAACACACGACAAACTTATGACAAGAAAAGCCGTATACGAACGTAGAGAAAGTCACGTTCGGTCGAGTGAGAAAAGTTTCGGCTGTTGAGTGATTTCCAAATTCACTTAGGGTTCGAGAATGGGCGGGGCAGGGAGTGGTTCGAACATGACGTATTCGATATTATAAAGGCAGTGATGAGAAGGGTTGCGTAAACAGAGAACGGTCAACTACGACTGAAGAGAAGGCAAAGATGATTACACAATAACAAAAAAAACGGAATAGGTGTCATAGAGATACGACAAAAAGAATTGGGTTGGGTGTAGAAAAACGTTCCCGTGGTCGGGGTGGGTGTCTTGAGTTGAGGCTAGTCCCCCTTCCCTTGCATCTTGAGAAATGCGTCCCAACTAGCCTCAGTTGACGAAGCCCTACTCACTGCCTTTTCGTGGCGATTTTTTCCCACCACATTAAAAAGAAAAACTCCAGCACCCGG